ATGCCAAGGTGAAAGGGAAGTTTCGAGAGTCCTACCTTTCCCCTGCCCAGTCTGTGAAACCGAAGATCAACACTGAGGAGAAGCTGCCCCGGGAAAAACTCAACCCCCCCACACCCAGCATCTATGTATGTGTGCCATCTGTCCTCAGAACCACCCCTCCAGAGGGCTCTAAGAAACACTTGGGACAGATGGGGTGCTCTGAGCCTGAGCAAGGGCTCTGAACCCCGCCTCTCCTGGTGTGTCTCAGCTGGAGAGCAAACGGGATGCCTTCTCACCGGTCTTGCTGCAGTTCTGTACAGACCCTCGAAATCCTATTACCGTGATCAGAGGCCTGGCTGGTTCCCTGCGGCTCAGTGAGTATGGGAGCAGAAAGTATGGGGATCTGGGATGCATGAGACCCTCTGAGAACTCCATACATTTAAAGACCCAGGACAGTGGCTATGAGAAGTGCTATGAATGATAAGTCACCTGGCCTTGGGCTTTGGTTCTGTCTGTTTTCCAGCAGTGGGCAGATGGTAAAGGGATATATTTCAGGGCCTGGTGAAAGTCACTTCTGGTTTTCTTAGTGATTAAGGATGAGAAGAATATAGATTTTAGAAAACCCCTGAAAATCTAGGGGTTTATGACTCTCTCTTTTAAACCTTTTATTGTGCAAAATTTCTAACACAAAAGTAGGGGAAATCGTATAGAATATAAAGGTCAGTCTTGTTTCTTTTACGCCCATGTATCCTACCTTTCCACCACTGAGTTATTTGAAGCACATGTCACACTTTTGCTTAACTAAATTTTTAATTGGATTCAGTGGTAACTTAAAGAAGCAGTAATTCATTGAGCATCACCTATGTGCCAGGTGCTCTGCACACATGCTTAAATGCACACCTGAGGGCTCTAGTTGAGGTGCTGAGCTTTGAGCAGCTGTGGGAGGAAGGGAGCTGGTGAGCCACCAGATAGAGGCCAGCTTTCCCAGCTTCCTGTGGGGCTAGAGGTTCTTGCCTATTCCTCCTGGGGTGAGCTCTGCCAAACCATTGTCCATCCTACCAGAGGCCCAAGAAGTGGGAAGGAAAAGGGTCATTTGGGTCCTTGGTCCCTGTCCTCTGCCTCTGCCCCGACGCCCTGCTCGGCCCTCCCTTGCAGACTTGGGCCTCTTCTCCACCAAGACGCTGGTGGAGGCAAGTGGCGAGCACACTGTGGAGGTACGCACCCAGGTGCAGCAGCCGTCAGATGAGAACTGGGATTTGACTGGCACGCGACAGATCTGGCCCTGTGAGAGCTCCCGTTCCCACACCACCATTGCCAAGTACGCACAGTACCAAGCCTCATCCTTCCAGGAGTCCCTGCAGGTGAGAGGCAAGCATGGGTGGAGGCCGGGTGCTGGGGTCAGCGGGAACTGGATGGGAAGGCTCCTGGAAGGTCACTGACCCAGGGTTGCTTACCTCTCTGGCTTATCAGGAGGAGAAGGAGAGTGAAGATGAGGAGTCAGAGGAGCCAGACAGCACCACAGGAACTCCTCCTAGGTACAGTACAGATATGCCCCTTCCTCCCTAACTCCTTCCTTTCCCTTTGCTCTCCACCAACCTGTGTGGTCTTCGCCCCAGCAGCAGCGCATCAGACCCGAAGAACCATCACATCATCAAGTTTGGCACCAACATCGACCTCTCTGATGCCAAGCGGTTAGTGGGGACTAAGGCCAGCAAAGCTGGGACAGGAACGCCGCCTGGCTCGAAGTCGGGTCGCTTCACACTTTTCTCACCCTTGCACCACAGGTGGAAGCCCCAGCTGCAGGAGCTGCTGAAGCTTCCCGCCTTCATGCGGGTAACATCCACGGGCAACATGCTGAGCCACGTGGGCCACACCATTCTAGGCATGAACACCGTGCAGCTGTACATGAAGGTGCCCGGCAGCCGAACGCCAGGTGCGCGCGGTGCTAGAGGCGCGGGAGGAGGGGCAGGCGGCAGCACTGCACTACCAGCCAATGAAGGCAAAGGGCGGGGCTGTGCTGATCGCCCTGGTGATCCGGCCTGCTATGCCCGTTCTCTGTCGCCCCCTGCAGGCCACCAGGAGAACAACAATTTTTGCTCCGTCAACATCAACATAGGCCCAGGCGACTGCGAATGGTTCGCGGTGCATGAGCACTACTGGGAGACCATCAGCGCCTTCTGTGACCGGTGTGTGTTGCTTCGTTGCTAGTCACCCCACCGCGTCCTCTCCCTCGGTCTCTAGGTTCCCACCTGACCCTGTGGCCACCCCGCAGGCACGGCGTGGACTACTTGACGGGTTCCTGGTGGCCAATATTGGATGACCTCTATGCATCCAATATCCCTGTGTACCGCTTCGTGCAGCGCCCAGGAGACCTGGTGTGGATTAATGCGGGGACTGTGCACTGGGTGCAGGCCACTGGCTGGTGCAACAACATCGCCTGGAACGTGGGGCCCCTCACCGGTGAGAGGGTGGGGTCAGGTGCAGGGCCCCTCAGCTGTGAGGGGATTGGGCTCCTGGGGACTGAGCCCCTTGGAGGGTGAGCACATGAGGCTAGGGCAGGGGGTGCTGGGGAGATGGGCTGCTGTGAGGGGGCTTGGGCCCAAGTAACTGGGAGCTGGTTGAGAATCCCATAGTGATCCCCTCTGGCCTGCAGCCTATCAGTACCAGCTGGCCCTGGAACGATATGAGTGGAACGAGGTGAAGAACGTCAAATCTATTGTACCCATGATTCACGTGTCCTGGAACGTGGCTCGAACAGTCAAAATCAGCGACCCTGACTTGTTCAAGATGATCAAGTGAGGACCTGTTTGGTGGGAGCCCATGTCCACCTGCCCTGGTCCCTGCTCTTGTTCCCATGTGACTACCAGCTCCCTCAGTCCTTGTCTGCCTGTGTCCTTGCAGCATTACTGTGCTGGTGAGGTTGACAAGGTCCCTGCTTGTAAGACCTTGATTTCCCAGTGGTCCAAATAGACAAAAGCCACATGATATTTCGACTGTGACAGATGCTCAGGACAGAGGATGTGACCCAGGCACGAAGAGGGGAGGTCCCCTAGGAGAGTGATTATGGAGCTGCAGTCTCAGGGGGCAAATTCCTCACCCTCTCTGCCCTCCACCAACCCTGCCCTGCCTCCCCCACTCTGCTGGCAGTGTGGCCTCAACGACATCCCACCGTTCCCCAGGTTCTGTCTCCTGCAGTCCATGAAGCACTGCCAGGTGCAACGGGAGAGCTTGGTTCGGGCAGGGAAGAAAATCGCTTACCAGGGCAGGGTCAAGGATGAGCCTGCCTACTACTGCAATGAGTGCGACGTGAGTGGGCACACCCTCGTGCTCCCGCTGCCCTAGAGGTAACCACAGTGACCCGCCCTCCCAGTGATGGCCCGCTCCTCCCTATCTCAGGTGGAGGTGTTCAACATCCTGTTTGTGACGAGTGAAAACGGCAGTCGGAACACTTACCTGGTGCACTGCGAGGGTTGTGCCCGACGCCGCAGCGCGGGCCTGCAGGGCGTGGTGGTGCTGGAACAGTACCGTACCGAGGAGCTGGCCCAGGCCTACGACGCCTTCACGCTGGTAAAGGCGACGGGCGCGGGTGGGCGGGAAGGTGAGGGGAGCGTGGAGGGAGGGTAATGGGGAGAGCCAGCAGCTCAGCCTTACTCGCGCTCTGTCTCTCCTGCAGGCCCCCGCTAGCACGTCGCGATGAGGCCGGACGCCCCGCCCGCCTGCTCGCCCGCGCAAGGCGTCGCGGGGCCACCAGCACACGCCTGGGCTGGACCTAGGTCCCGCCTCTGGCCGGGAAGGGGGTCGGGCCCAGCCCTTCAACCCCATTGGCAGCTCCCCTCACTTAATTTATTATTAAGAAAAAACTTTTTTTTTTTTAACAAATAATGAGGAAAAAAGGAAAAAAAAAATGGGAGACGGGGGGAGGGTGCTGGCAGCCCCTCGCCCACCAGCGCCTCCCCTCACCGACTTTGGCCTTTCTAGCAACAGACACAAGGACCAGGCTCAGGCGGCGGCGGGGGTCGATACGGGTTCCCTCACGCCTGCCAGCCGCCCGCCCGCCCGGCGCAGATGCACGAGGCTAGTGTATGTACATAGACGTTACGCAGCCGAGGTTTTAAATGAGATTCTTTCTATGGGCTTTACCCTCCCTCCCCCCAAACCTTTTTTACTTCCAGTGCTAGCTGTGACCCCTGTACATGTCTGTTCATTCACTTCGTTATGATTTGTATTTTTGTTCTTTTTGTTTTTGGTTTTTAATTTATAACAGTCCCACTCACCTCTATTTATTCATTTTTGGGAAAACCCGACCTCCCGCACCCTGAAACCATCCCACCCACCCTTCCAGGGACCGCCTGCTGGGTTCTCCCTGTACCCCTGTGTGTGTCTGGCCCAGCCCGACGTCTCCGCCCGTCCGCCCTCGGCTCCCGCCGGGTTCTCATGGTGCTCAAACCCGCTCCCCTCCCCTAGGTCCTGCACTTTCTCGGACCAGTACCCTCACTCCCAACCCAACCCCAACCCCGCCTGAGGGTGAGCGACTCCTGTACTGTAGGGGAAGAAGTGGGAACTGAAATGGTATTTTGTAAAAAAAAATAAAATAAAATAAAAAAAATTAAAGGTTTTAAAGAAAGAACTATGAGGAAAAGAAACCCCGTCCTTCCCAGCCCCGGCCAATTTTAAGAACACGGACCTTCACCCCCATCCCCTTTTCTTTTTAAGCGTGAAAACAGCCCAGGGCCAGGGCCTCACTGGGGCAGGGACACCCCGGGATGAGTTTATCTGGGGCTTTATGTTGTTTTTTCTCCAGCTGGGGCTGCGGAGGGGTGGGGGGTTTACAGTCCCATCCCCTCTCACTGCACTGTCTCTCTGCCCTAGGGGCAGAGGGGTCTTCCCAACTCTACCCCTATTTTCGGTGATTTTTTTTGTGTGAGAATATTAATATTAAAAATAAAAGCAGAAAAAAAACCTGTTTTGATAACGTGCTGGTGATAACAAGGAGTACCGGGAAGAGGGCTGCAAAACCATGATTGATGGGGAGGACTAAGCAGACCCTAGTAAGGGTGAGCCCCTCCCCGGAGGCGCCTGTGGAATGTCCATCCAGAGCTCTGGTCCGCTCCTTGGGATGGGGGGGTGCCTAATCCTAGAGCTGCATTCCAGGATAAGGGGGGGTGGGGAGAGGCTGGGCCGGGGGAGGGGCAGGAAAGAGGGCTATAAGGACAGCGGCTCTGGCTGGCTGGAGCCAGGCAGGCCATGGCGGATGTCCCGGGGGCCCAGCGACCGGTTTCCAGCGGAGGCCCAGAGCCTCGGGATCCCCTGGATTGCTGGGCCTGCGCTGTGCTGGTAACAGCCCAGAATCTACTTGTGGCTGCCTTCAATCTTCTCCTGCTGACGCTGGTGTTAGGGACCATCTTGCTACCCGCCGTCACCATGCTGGGCTTCGGCTTCCTCTGCCATTCCCAGGTGAGTGTGCACCCCTGGACGTGTGTGGAGTGCGGGTGGCGGTAGTGTGTGGTGATGCTGGTGGTGGCGTTTACAAGCCACAGCTTCTCTGCCTGGGCTGTTCTCACAGTATAGGGCTTGGCTCTGATGCCTTTTCTCCTCCCACAGTTCTTGAGATCCCAGGCACCCCCTTGCACCGCTCACCTTCGGGACCCGGGCTTCACCGCCCTGCTGGTCACTGGTTTCCTGCTCCTTGTGCCGTTGCTCGTGCTTGCTCTGGCCAGCTATCGCCGCCTCTGCCTGCGCCTCCGTCTGGCCGACTGCCTCGTACCCTACAGTCGAGCCCTCTATAGGCGCAGACGCGCCCCGCAGCCACTGCAAACTCGGGCCTCACCAGGGTCCCCAGCCGTTCCCACATCAGGAAAGGTCTGGGTCTGACGAAACCTCAAGTCAAGAACAACCCTGACTACAGTCTTCCCTCTCATTCTGCCCAAGGACTTGAAATCCTGGGGTCTTCTCTGCCCCCAACTCCTGCCTGAGCTGGGCCTAGCATCCCCTTGGAGAACATCATCAGTGGAGCCTATGCTGGTGAAAATCCCCACACCTCCGAAAACCCACTTTCCTCTCACTACCCACATCTAAATCCTGAATATCTGGGCTGGACTCTACACACGCCAGTGTTCGGACCCCCCACTTCCCCCATTGTGAATAGGACAACTGAGTCTCCTGTCCTTTTCTGGTGCTGCTCCCCTCGTATTTACTGGGCTAGGGGGTAGGGCTGGAAGGCAAGGAGTGTCCAACATCAATAAAGAATTACTGAACTGAATTTGTGCTCTGTGAACAGTGGGGTGGCACAAATACCATCACCTTCATCCTGTGCTCAAGAACAGGAAACAACGTGTATATGAGTTACAAATATGCACAGACTGGATGGAGCATCCTTCTGCCTCCTGGCCCTTTCTTATCGCATTAGTCCGTTCTTCCTGGCCAGACCTCAGAGCTCTGTCCCTGACCCCAGTCACCTCCCCATCAATAGAACAGAGGGGGCCCAGCCTTCGCTATGGCCCTGCTCCCCTTGGGGACCCAAGCCCGTTCTCTGACCCCAGCTTAGAGGAACTCAGCGTTGCCAGGCCGGAGTGGGAAACAATGGGCCTTCCGGAGCAGGATGACACCCCCCACCCCAGCGACAATTCTGTTCTGGAGCAGCAGCCAATTCTGTTCTGGAGCAGCAGCGTGGGAGGGAAGATGCAGGGGCCCACCCTGGGGCCTGTTGGTTGGAAGCTCAGCCTAGTGGTCTATCCCCACCCTCAAACTCGAGGGAACCTTTGATACCCCTGGATATCCAAATTGGGGCAGGAAGGTTGAGAGTACTCACAACCTGCTACCTCTGCCCTGGCATACCAGCTACACAGACACGGGCCATTTCAGTTATAGGTTTAATAAAGTCTGAAAGGCATGCGCAATCGTAGTCAGAGATACGGAGGCCCGGTCAGGCTCTCCCTCTGCACCTCAATAGAAACGATGTGGTGTCCGGGAACCATGGCCAGGCCCAGCACACGGGGCTCCCCGGCAGAGAATGAATCTGGAAAGAAGGTAGACCAGCATCAGTCCCGCCCCTTCTGAGCAACGAAAATAAACCCCAGAAAAGCAGGGGTGCAGTCAGGACCCGATGGGGAAGGTTGCGGAAGGTTCCGCCGCATTTCTAGGCTGCTGTGCATTCCCCAGGCACTGACCCGACGGCTTGAGGAATTCCTGTGCTGAGCCCAGGATGACATTGCAGTCGCGGTCAGTACAGAGGAAGCAGCCAACTAATGTCCTTCCATCTGTCATACGAATGCGCATAGTCTTGTTGAGCAACGCCTCTAGCTGCTGCCGGGCGCGCGCAGCCGGCGAGTCCTCACGCTCCCCGTCGGAGTCCTGCGCAGAGTTAGATGCGCGTTCAGACCGCTCGGGCCCGGCTGCCCGCCCACCCGCGGAACCACAGCTCCCGGCAGCCCGCGGGGCGCTCACACAAAACCCAGAGGCTGCTGGGAGCTGCAGTTTCCCCCCCGCAGTTCAGCCCCCCCCCCATCTTGCTGCCAGACTGCCCCTCGATCCCAAAACCTGAGCCCACGCTAACCCCGGCACTGGAGCTGCTTTGACGCCGACTGCAACAGCCATTCTCCTCTCGTAGCAGCATGGTCGGTCCAGCTCCGGCCATTTGCTTTTGGGCCTCTTCTAGGCCCTTCAACTTCCAAAGCACCTTTCAGGTCCGGTGGTCTGAGATCTCGCGAGCACTTCCAATCTTTTTCCTTTCGCGAGATCACAGTGCCGCACCCTCCTAGTGAGATCTCGCGAGCTTCTCCTACATCTCCAGAACTGTGGCTTGCTGAGTTTTTTTTTTTACGCCGCCGGGCTTAAGGTATCTTAAGATATCGCGAGAGTTTTGCCTCTAGTTTCTTAGGCGTTCTTTAGGAACTCTGGGATTTTGCGAGAACACCTTTTTTCGTGGTGTTCCTCTTACCCTACTTTTCTACATCGAGAGATAGTTTGTCCTAAACATCCCGTGTAGCCCAAGCTACTGAATAAAAAGAGCGCATTCGTTCTCCCAACCCCCGAATTTCTGAGGCCATAACTCAAATACTTGATTCTTAGCTGGTCTGTGCAGAACCAGACTACATTTCCCGAGAGCACGCGCAGCTCTAGCCGCCCCCACCTAGCTCGCAGTGTTTAATTTCAGTGGCGAGTGGCTGGAAAAAGACAATGGTTTCCATGTCAGCGGATAAACGCGCTCCCTTAGCTGCTAGACTAGAGGGAGGACGTAGTAGTGAGTGTATACAGAGACGCGAGGAAGCTAGTAAAGCAGTTGGTGACCGACAGTGCAAGAGCCATGCTGCGCCGGGGTCTAGTGGCTGGGCCAGACTTTGAGCATTTCCGTCGTCGCTATTTCACGCCAGCAGAGGTTGCCGAACATAACCATCCCGAAGACCTCTGGGTGTCTTACCTGGGATATGTGTACGACCTAACGCCACTGGTTCAGGAATATAAGGGTAAGGGCCAGGGCTGGAGTATGTGTGGAGGTGGGTGCCTGGTTCTTGAGGCGGACATTAACAGTGGCTGCACCTTCTCAGGGAACCTGCTGCTGAAACCCATCGTGGAAGTTGCAGGTCAGGACATCAGCCATTGGTTTGATCCTAAGACCAAAGACGTGAGTTCTGCTGGAACCCGGGGTTGTGGGTAGAGGCACTGGAGAGCGGGATGGGGAGGAAAAGCAGGAGCTGGCCAGTGCATGAAATAGTAACAACTTCGACCCCCTCGACCCTAAACCCTGCTTTAAAGATCCGTAAGCACATAGATCCTCTGACCGGCTGCCTGAGGTACTACACCCCGCGGGGCCGCTTTGTGCACGTTCCGCCCCTGCTGCCTCGTTCGGACTGGGCCAACGATTTCGGGAAGCCCTGGTGGCATAGGTCTTTTTATGAGGTGGGGCGGCTGTCTGCCAAGACCCGGATCATCCGCATCATTAATACGCTTACATCGCAGGAGCACACGCTGGAGGTAAGAACCAATGCCTGAGGGAAGGTTAGAGGAAATGGCAATCCTAGCACATCTCCAGGCTGTCAGTTTTTCCATTAACCGGTGGAAGCTGTATTTTCTGTCCCTTACATTGAGGCAACTGAGGAAAGCAGACCACCCAGACTCCCAGGGTTGTGAATTCCAGGAGTGTTTGGGACACAGTGATACAAGAAATTCCTCTATAAGCCCAGGGCAGCAGTTCATGTATCTTAGTATTGGTGGTCCATGGAAGCTCTTACTTGCTATTTTGGACAGCAGTAGGGCTTAGGGATATAATGAAGAGGCAGTTGACCTGTTAGACGTGGCTGTCATTAAGATAGGTAGGACTTTGGGGGGCTCATTCATTACATGCTGGAGCTTCAACTTTTTTTCTGGGACCATGAAGTGCTTCAAGCTGCTATCTCCCAAAGGAAGCACTCTGGTCCTGGCTCTGTCATATCATGTGCTACTGGCCTTTGCTCTGTGTGTGTATGTACACTCATTCCATCCAGAATTCTGGGGGTGGGATGCTTCTGTGTTCTCCAGGTGGGTGTCCTGGAGTCAATGTGGGAAATCCTGCACCGCTATCTCCCCTATAACGCGCATGCTGCCAGCTACACGTGGAAATATGAAGGGAAGAACCTGAACATGGATTATACCCTGGAAGAGAATGGGATCCGGGATGAGGAGGAAGAATTTGACTTTCTCAATATGGATGGTACACTCCACACACCTGCAGTACTGCTGTACTTCAATGATGACCTCACAGAGCTATAGGAAAGGAGATGTATGCTCATGTATGCTCAAGACATATTTTGAGTATGGTTTTTTCTGTGCCTTAAGGAAAAGAGGTGGGGACTGGGGGGTGTCTGGACTTAGACTTCCATTCCCCTCTGGGAACTTGCCTGTGGTTCCCATGCCTTTCTGAAATACAAAGGTCCTATTCCCCAACTCCATAATAATTTGCTCTAAGAAACTTAAGAAGAATGCTAGAAGTGAATTAATCTTTAAGAATGATACAGGAAGATGAAGAATTTTGGATTAGGGAGAGGTAGAAGAGGTTAGTCAGAGCTCAGGCAGAGCTGTTTGATAGAGAAAAATCCTACAGGGATGAAGGATTGAAGAACTTTTTTTTTCTTTTTTTTTTTAAAGCAATAATAGAAATAAGATGACTGCAGTAAGAGGGGATTTACAAAGAGAGGAATAGGAGATGTCTTAGCATTGACCAAATAAAATCAGCTCCTCTTCTACAGGAGTGTTCAGCAGCTAAAACCTAAGAGACAGAAAGTAAGTGGATGGTTGTCAGGTAATTCAGGCTAGATGTTATGCTAGGTGCTTTATATACCCTAAGACAGCTATCTTATAAGGTGGATATCATTACTACCAATTTGCAGAAAAGTCTTTTGAAACTCAGAAAAGTTTAATAGCACAAAGGCACATCAGTTAGTAATCACCAGAGTAAGGATGCAAATCCAAGTCTGTTCAACACTAGAGTTTATGTTCTTCTCAATACAAAGGGACTATCTCAATGTCTAATCCAGGGGTCTTCAAACTTTTTAAACAGAGGCCAGTTCACTGTCCCTCAGACAGTTGGAGGGCCAGACTGCAGGCCCCGGGATGAGTCAGCTGCTAAGCAGGACAGGCAGTGGCGGCAAAAATACCTGGCAGGCTGGATACATGTCCTAGGCGGGCTGCATGTGGCCTGTGGGCCGCAGTTTGAGGATACCTGGTCTACTCTCATGTCCATATTTGTGACCACCACTCTCAGACCATTTGGGGTGTGGATTTGTTCTAGGCTTCTTGCACAATGGGAAACTCTATGTCTACTGTTTAGTCATCAGCTACTGTCTTTGGGAGTTAAAAGTTCTCTAGTGGTAGAGAAAGCAGGGAAGGTTAAGCGTAACCTAAGCAATAGCTATTCAGGCTACTCTTCCTTATTTATTAATCCCACATTAAAATTTCTCTTCTGATTTTTTTTTTTCTTTTTTTGAGACAGTCTTGTCCTTTGTATAGTACCCTGGTGTCACAGCTTACATCAACCTCAAACTCTTGGGCTCAAGCGATTTTCTTCTTCTTCTTTTTTTTTTACAGAGTCTCACTATGTTGCCCTCAGTAGAGAGCCATGGCATCACAGCTCACAGCAACCTCAAACTCTTGGGCTTAAGTGATTCTCTTGCCTCAGCCTCCCGAGTAGCTGGGACTACAGGCACCTGCCACATCGCCTGGCTGTTTTTCTGTTGTAGTTGTCGTTGTTCAGCAGGCCTGGGCCGGTTCAAACCTGCCTATGTCAGTGTATGTGGCCAGCGCCCTAACCACTGAGTTATGGGTGCTGAGCCATCCCTAGTAGCTGGGACTACAGGTGCCCACCACAATGCCTGGCTATTTTTAGAGAAGGGATCTTGCTCTTGCTTAGGCTGGTCTGGAACCTGTAAGCTCAGGCAGTCCCACCTGCGTCAGCCTCCCACAGTGTTAGGATTATAGGTGTGAGCCACCTCGCCTAGCCCTCTTCTGATTTCTTTGAGACAAACAATTGGATATTTACTGGCTCCAGGAAAATGGCCTGTGAATTGGGAGACTTTGATGAGGCACTTTTTCCTGACAGGCCTTGCCACACAGGGAAGGTGAAGAAGATAGGATTGACTTTGTAAGATGGTGACTCCAAAAGAGGGAGCTTGACTGGGATAGTATAAAAAAGAGGAGCTAAGTAAGTCATAAAAGTTTCCTGGTGTCCCAAAGACAACAACCATAGAGGCAATGGCTAGGCCTGGTAACCTCATCAGGGGAGGGGAACTGAGAATGATAGGTGAACTTCCTGGCAGCAGCAAGCAAGAATCAGAATTTAGTGCATCTTATGGAAGGGGGTACCAAGGCTCAGTGCAGGGAAAAGTGGTCCCTGTGAGACACTTGGTGGGTTGCAAAGGAATTTTCTGAGGCTCTGACTAGGTATGAACAAATGTGGAGACACCCTGTTGGCTTCAGTAGTATATGAATTCACTTTGAGACTGAGGGTTTATATCTAGTCCCATGGAATTATCTGAGTCACTCATTGTGATCTTTAATCAACTGTACAATTATTTTATATGTATCTTGTTTGCTCAATTAAATCCTTAACCATTTGTGAATCAAAGCTATGCTAGGCTTTTCCTCTAGCCCAGTGGTTCTCAACCTTCCTAATGCTGCAACCCTTTAATATAGGTCCTCATGTTGTGGTGACCCCCAACTGTAAAATTATTTTTGTTGCTGCTTAACTGTAATTTTGCTACTGTTATGAATCGTAATGTAAATATCTGATATGCAGGATGTATTTTCATTGGTCGCAACCCACAGGTTGAGAACCGCTGCTCTAGCCGAAGCCTTAGAGCCTCTGCCTGTGGGATGTGTTATGAGAGAGAGATCTCTTCCAGAGTCTCCTACTTTAGTACCTCTTGCCAGTAACATGTCCCTTTCTTTACATACCCAGTCACCATGAAGTAGATGCTCTCCTAAATATGCCTAGAATCCATCTTCTTTTCTCTAGGTCATCATCACTTTTTGTTTAGACTGCTATGGAAACTTCCTGTCCTGACCTCCATTCCTGTCCTCCATATGCTGAGAACAAACTGAAACGTCTAACTCTCCTGCCTCACATTCTTCAGTGGCTCCTAATTGCTTTTGGAATAAAGTCCTAAATTCAAAGATCTTGTCTAAGTCAGGCCCTGCCTATCTCTCATATCTCAAGCAATATTCCCCTTTATTCCCTATTCCCCAGGCATGCTGGTGGGCTCTCAATTCAATAACTGTCTTCTTGCCTCAGTTTTCACAGACTGTTCTTTCTGCTTATAGCACTCTTCCTTCCACCCTCCATCTAGCTTATCCTAAGTGTTTCTTCCTCAGGGAAGCTATCTCTGATTTCTCAGTGTAGGTTAAAACTGTTAAAAATCCTCTTTTAGCACACTGCATTTTTTAGTGTTATTATACTTGTAAAGTTATGGATTTAATTGTCTGGCTGGTTGCTAGACTGTAAGCTCATTAGGGCAGAGATCTTGTCCATTTTGTTTACAGTGAGAACTATAAAGTTAACTGCTCAATAAATTTTGATTGAATGAACTCAAATGTTGAGTGAATCGATCTGTTTATTATAACTAGGAGTTAGGATGTTGTGTCCTGGAAGGCAAGGCAGAACCAAGAAATAGGATGTCTGGTTCCTGTGCTGTAGTCTCTAGCCATAGGTTTCTCTTTCCTTGCTTCCCCTAGATCCCAAGACCAGAATTTATTCCATAGTTCTTTTTGGGGACAATCCATCTGTTATTTCTTTCTATGGCCACCAGGTGGCTGTAATCACCTATGGAGTCAGGAAGAGGAGCCTGGAGCAGGGTAAAACTTTTCAAGTTCCAAAGGTGACCCTTTGAGATTTATAGGAGGGAGGGAAAGCTCAAGAAAATAAGTAAGAACCAGATGCCACCATTCTGTTAAGTTTATTCCTGCTTTTAACTCTTTCTATAAGCACAAACCAAGAGTGCAGTCTGAGAAATGACTTGTGATAAGATGAAAAGGGGTTCCTGATTACACATGTGGGAGTGTATGGAGCAAAGTAGAGAGCTGAGGAAGGAATGGACATTTCAGGTTTTCAAGACAGTAGTGTACATTCGTTTATTACTATATACTGAATTTTTTTTCTGTATAAAGCTTTCCACTAGGCATTGCCTTGTTCTCTAAATATATGAGTAGATATCTGTATGAAAAGTATGTAAATAATACCTCAACCTAACACCTAGAAAGTGAATAGAACATGGGCCCGCAGAATGACTCACACCTGTAATTCCAGCACTCCGGGAGGTGATATGGATCACTTAAGATCAGGAGTTTGAGACCAGACTGAGTAAGACCTGTCTCTACTAAAAGTAAGAAAATTAGCTGGGTGTTGTGGTAGGTGCCTGTAGTCCAAGCTATCTGGGAGGCTGGGGTAGGAGGATTGCTTGAGCCCAGGAATTTGAAGCTGCTGTGAGCTAGGCTGACACCACTGCACTCTGGCACCCAGGGGTGACAGAGACTTAAAAAAAAAAAAAAAAATTGAAGTATAAATAAATAAATAAAAATAGAATGTGACTGTTTGGTCCAAGTCCTCTGGTGGTGATCTCTTTTGTGTTGGAAGGTGGTGGGGTGGAAGATGGAGTGTTGAAAGGAAGGCTGCTTGTCCTCTGTTGAAGGACTCAACTGGCAAGTATTTCCCACAAGCCATGGTCCCTATATGCACACATCACTGGGGCAAGGTTCCTTAAAGAAATTCATTGGGATAAAACATGCACAGGAGAAAGGTAAATAAAAACATATATAAAGGCTGGGCAGTGCCTGTGGCTGAGTGAGTAGGGCACTGGCCCCATATATCAAGGGTGGCGCGTTCAAACCTGGCCCTGGCCAAACTGCAACAAAAAATAGTTGGGCATTGTGGCAGGCACCTGTAGTCCCAGCTACTCAGGAGGCTGAGGCAAGAGAATTGCCTAAGCCCAGGAGTTGGAGGTTGCTGTAAGCTATGACGCCATGGCTGGGACACTACTCTACCAAGGGCAATACTCTGTCTCAAAAACACACACACACACACACACACACACGCACACACGCACACACATATAAACATATAAAGGACTAAATTATGGTATAGAAAAACTTTCCACCCTCATGGCAAGTCACAGCTGGATAATTTAACCTGGATATCCTGAAACTATTCTGAAACTGTTTCTAAACTGTGTGTGTGTATCATTTTGGAGAAAGGTACTATAATTTCCATCAGATTCTCACAACAGCTCACTTTCCTATCCCTGAAATAGTGTGTATATAAACAGGTAACAATAATTTAAAAAGCCTCAAGAGTAAAATATCAGACAATACAATATGGTCTCAGGATTCCAGGCACCTTTCTCAATGGTCTGCCTCAACCTGTGTTACACCTGTGCTCTTCCCATGGCACCAATTCCCAAAGCTTTACCCCTGGGGGCTAAGTTTATAACTAGTCTGAAGTGATTTAGTACTATAGCAAATTTTGATCTGGCTGTACTTTGGCAGTGAGTGAGGGGACATATCATTTGGGCTTGGCACTGTAATACTCAATCATGACATCAGGATAAGGTGATTGCATCTAGCCCCACAGCTTAGTTTAGGGCAACCACATGGGTATGTTGACACTGGGAGAATAGCCACTTTATGATGGATCAGTAGAAGTACATGGCTTGGTTATAAGAAAGCACAAAGAATTTTAAACCTGAATAATCTTTATTTTGGAGGTCAAAGATTAGGGATTCAAAATACAAACAGATATACAGCCCAAATATTGGGTATTCTGGGCATACAGAAAGTACTAACAACAAAAAAAGCTGGTGAATGAATAGATGAAGTATGAGCATTACATTCAGGACAGAGATAAAGGTTGTTGATAAGAACAAGATAGCAGAGAAATGCTAGTATTAAGTCTTCCTTACTGGGAGCAATTCTAACTACTGCCCTTTAGGAGCTTCATGGCTACTTGGGGATCTGGCTTAAATTACCTGACTAAATCATATCTGTATTCCCAATAGTCATGTAATGCCTGGCACAGACTGG